CTCAAACGAAAACCCTGGCAATTTCCTGTCACTTTTGCAGTTATTAGCAAAGTATGATCCAGTAATGAGAGAGCATTTAGAGCGTGTTAAAAACAAGCAAACGTCAACATCCTATCTTTCTCATAAAATCCAGAATGAGTTTATAAATCTCATGGCTTCACATGTGCGAAATTATTGTTTGTCAGCAATTCGTAGAAACAAATACTATGGTATTCTGTTTGATTCCACACCTGATTTAGCCCATCGTGAGCAATTTGCCCAAGTGATTCGGTTTGTTGATATTAACTTCAATACAAGAAAAGTAGAAGTCAAAGAGTCATTTATTGACTTTATACAGATAAAGGAAAAAGACGCTGCCAATATTGAGAAAACAATATGCACAAAATTAGAAGCGGATGGTATTTTATTGAGTGATTGCTGTTCACAATGTTATGATAATGCTGCTGTCATGTCAGGTCATCTGTCAGGCGTTAAACAAAGAAACCTGAACAAATATCCAAAAGCAATGTTTATAAACTGTGACAACCATAGTTTGAACTTAGCATGTCTTCATGCTGCAAGTCAGGAAACAACAGTTATTACTTTTTTTGATATAATTGAAGCCATTTATAATTATTTTTTTTTGCGCATTCAACAACTCGATGGGACGAACTGCAGCAGGAGCTTAAGATCTCTGTCAAGCATGAATCAGAAACACGGTGGAGGGCAAGAGAAAAGGCAGTAAAAGTTGTACATGAAAAACTGGATGAATTGCTAGGACTGTCAGAGCAATTAAGTGAGAATGGCAACACGGCTGAAACAAAATGAGGTGCTCATAATATTCTGTAACGCATGCTTACATTTGATTTTCTTGTACTTTTATCATATATCAATCGAGTGCAGAAACGTCTTCAGGACCAAAAAATGAATTTTAGAGAAACAGCTGCTTATCTTGATTCTTTGAAAGAGAAATTGACAGAATCACGTGAAAAGTCCTGTCAAGAAGCACTTAAAGTTGGCAAGAATCAATGTGAAACATGGGGATTGACCATTGAAAGAAGAAAAATACGTTGTAAACGAATGCCAGGTGAAAATGCAGCTGATGCTGGATTAACTGCTGAACAGGAAATTTATCTCATCATGAAGGATGTTATTGATCGCTTGATTACAG